CTTTAGAAAGGGGAGCAATGGGTGTGGGAGAGGAAAGGAGAGTAATGGGAGGTAACATGATGAAAACACATTATATAAATGTATGAAAATGTCATAATGAAACCCATTACTAGGTATAACCAATATATACAAAAAGAGGAAAAAAGACAAAATAGAGGGCTGAATGGCTTAGTTCTTTAGCGTTCAGACCATGACCTCAGGAAAGACTTGACCTTTTTCTGTCTCAGTTTCTGCATCTGTGAAATGATACTGCTAATTCCCCTCCCTGAGATACTTGATGATTATGTCCGACACTGTGGACACATGAACTGAAAGCAGTACCTGCATACTGTGAGGTTTCACATCTTACCAGAAAGAACACAGCGTATGCATGGATTTCTGTGAAGAGGACTAAGAGTATGGCAACATATGTGAAAACAACTGTCACAACATCTGAGTACCTCTTTCCCACTCTCTGTCTGATGACACACCCTTAGCTTCTTCTGAGTCCTTTGGCCAGTTATGAATGTTCTTTCCACCTGTTCTGGTACCAGTCTACTGCCATGTTTCCAGTAACGAAGTTGTAAATCAACCATCCCAAACTAGCTGGTCAAATGGAGGGTCCCCTTTTCAATTTAAGGATCATGAGAAAAAAATTCATTTGTAGAGTTTTCTCAGAGCCAGGAGCAAGGAAAGAAAGATGCAGGACGAAGGAACAGTGGACGAAGATGAGGTCAAAAGCATAGGAGCTTATTAAAACTACGAGGACAGGAAAAGTGGGCACAGAGAGGAGCTGAATGGGCTCTGAGAAAACTCTACATTCATTAATATTAAAAAACATGGCTAATTATTTTTAAAGAGTTAAAGAAGAAATATATTTCATTTGCTTAAGTGTTTCTGCTAAGGTTCCATAGGCCAGAGCTTCAACGTCAGTTAAGTATGTGCTGGCACTTTCTCCTATTTAGTATTAAGGAATGGAATCTTAAGTATGAAAGATGTCTCGTGTAGTATGTCAAAATGTTGAGCAATATCATTTCAGTCTAAACACAGAGATGAAAAAAGAGCAGATGATTTCCCTTTTGCTGTAATTCACTTTGGGATACATGTCATGAAGAGCACTATACAAAAGCAATTTTCATTGATTGACTGACTGATTGAGGAAAAGGGTGAATGTTCTTTTAGCTTATGTTCATACTGAAGTATGATTCTTATAGCTCCTGACAGCTCTTTACAATTTCTAGTTAAATGGCATGCTACCAAACAAACAAACAAACAAATAAATGAAATAAAAAAGAGGAGAGGAAGAGAAAGTCTTAATTAGAATTTCTCTGCATTTTTAGTAGAGCTGACTTGAGCCAAATAGCTAGCTAGACTCGACCAGGTAAGAGTCACTCTGGTTCTCCTATGCACTGTATTTGGACATGACTATGATTGCAACCGCCTCATCAACACGCTAACTGCTCAATCCACTCAGTGACAGAGGCAGTCCATAGGTACTGCTCTTTTTCTGCACAAGGTGCTACTCTCTCTAGAACATTTAAGGAGGTTCTGATGCAGTTTCGCATCAGTGCCCTTATCATTACAAAAAGAATTCATCATGTCTCTAAAATGGCCCCTCGATTCTGCAAACCTTCACCTAATTTGGGCACAGCTTTTGTCTTTCCATGTATCTGAATGAATGCTGATCTCCTGGTTATGAATGTAAATATATAACATGTCCAGTAACGAAACCGGAAAAAAAACATATATAAACAATGTCTCCAAATTCCTGCAGCAGATCACTCTCACCCATTACTAATCAGTGGTGATTAGCAATCCGACCACTGCTACTACTGATCATCTCTTTTTAAGTTTTTAGTTCATTCTCCTAGTGACATAAAAATACTTGAGGAATTCTTCTCCCTTAATTTATGCAAACTGGGTTTTTCTCAGATGTTAATTTGAAGGAATACTTGAGAGGCAGCATTTCTTACCTCAAACAGACTCACTTAAATTCAATGACTCTTCACATGGGATAAATTTTAGTCCTTGCAAAGTTACATCTGTTTACAAACTGTGGAAGATCTAAGGTCACATGACAGGTCATAATAAATGCACTTCCAGGTGAGAGGCAGCACACAAGTGACAAGGCCTGAGAAGGTGCTGCGAACCCTTCACCCAGGGTCATTCTTTTTCTGCAGAAGCTTGAGATCACGTTTGCAGTTTGGAACTGACACTCTCCATGCAATTACGCTTCTAGCCAAATATGTCCAGGGCGGGAGGAAAACAGTTCAAACCAGTAAATAATTGCAGTATCATTGCATCAGTTTAGTTTAAAGAGCTGACAAGCCCTCTCTAAACTCCAGGCACAATTAGTCATTAGGGTCTAGTTTTTCAGCACTGTTAAGCAATTTGTAACCCATTCCTCTTAATAGGGTTAGGCATTACTTAACGACACAGATGCCTTGAAAACTGAAACCTCGAGTTATGAAGCAGCAACCTTGTTCATTATCTTCTGTGATAGGCAAATCATCTATAAAAACAGCATTTAATGGGCAACCAATGAATAATCAATGGCTCACTTTTCATCTGAGTGTGAAAATGAGAATAATCTAATACAAGTCCCTCTGGTAAGAGTCTGAATCTCGGCTCTGCCACTCTTCAGGGCTGATTTATAAGGTCCTGGAAAGCTGATGTAAACAGATGATCAATGGCCCATCCCTGCTCATAATAACCCCCAACTGGCCCACTCCCTCTTTTCCAGGTTCATCCCTTCAGGCTATTAGCTCTGTCCGGCTAATTCTTCCCACTGCTCCTGCCTGCTGCTTTTACTCTGGCCATCCGTTCAGTCCAGCAGACTCAGAAGTAATTTTATACGCAGCAGAGAGCGGGTGGAATTGATTTTTCACTCAGTGCTCAGTTCCCATCTGAATAATTATCAATTTTACTGCCTCATAAAGGGAAGAGTCAAAATTTCAAATCAATTCAAAAGAGCTTTTGAGACGACAGAAACTGTGCATAAGAATAGAGGTCAAAGTTGTCAGTGACCTAAGGAGATGATGTCAGATATTACTATACCCAATAGTTGACATCAGAGGCACTCAAGATGATACAACCTAGTGCTAATGCAAATCATATTTATGCTGACTACCAGAGACCAGTCATTAATATTTAAAATGTTATCTGAAAGCTTACATCCCAAATAAATAGAATGTATTCCACTGCTTAATAAAGATATATCACTACTTAGTCATATGCTATAAAGTGAAAGATTACCAAGTCTTATTAACACACAGAAATGACTTAAACCAACAAACTCATGTTGATTGTGAGTAAAGACACACTGGCTCATGTCCTGCATGGTCTTATTACTAGCCTACTGATTTTTACTAAAAATTTCAACCAAATTAGAAGTGACGGCTCAAAGCTGATGGGACAATACTGTGATGATGACTGACTGCTAGCATGAATGATTTTGTGGTAGACTTGTCCTTTGTCATGGTAGGCAGGGCCATGAATATTTGTTATCTTCAATGATGACATGCTATACGTCAGTGGTCCTCAGCCTTCTCCATGGAAAACACACAGGGCTGCAAGTGTACCCCTACCTGTCCAGCAGTGACTTGCAGGAAGAAGTGTTTGAGAGAAGTGCATCCTAACCATGACAGAATGTGTATTTTGCACAGGCATCCAGGTGACTCTGAGATACCTTGAGAAGCAGTGGCTTGAGTTTTAAGGACGTGGGCTTTGGAGCTAAACAGACCTTGGTTCAAATTCCAATTCTATTACTTTCTAGCGAATCTTAAGGCACCCAGAATATTGATCTGTAAAACTGGGGATGATGCTAACCATATTTCTAGGCTGTTGTGGAGTCTGTAGTAATTAGTCCTTTGCTAGTTATTCAAAATATGAAACAAATTACACTCATGCCATTTGTTCTTGGAATGCAACTAGTTAACTGAAATGTCACTACAAATAAGACTTTTATAATTTCATTTTGATCCTAGTAAAACCATTATATTCAGGAAGGAAACCTTTTCCACAAACTTCCCATTCCATTCTCATCATGTTCATGTGCAATGAGACAGTCTACTGACTCAGACGACATTGTTCACTAATGACAATATAGTCAGTGAGGTACTGACTTTTGCAAGTCAGACTATTATGGATATACCTGGGCAAAAGAAAACCGAAAAGGGTATACATGTATTTCCCAAATTTTGTGGAAGTACAAACATCAGTCATAGTGATGGTCTATCTGTAAAATGGCTTTACTCTCTCTGGAATATTCCTGGCATATATCTTCATTTCTTATGTATGTTGTTTCTCAGATTGGCAGAAATGAGTTACTTAAAACAATTATAAACTTGGACTTAGCCTGTGTTGGCCAGTTAGAAAACACAACTAGGGACTGGAGAGATGGCTCAGCAGTTAAGAGCACTGGTTGTTCTTCTAGAGGTCCTGAGTTCAAATCCCAGCAACCACACGGTGGCTCACAACCATTTATAATGGGATCCAATTCCCACTTCTGGCATGCAGGTGTACATGCAGACAGGGCACTCATATAAAACACATGAAAAATAAACCTTTTTAAAAGACACAACTGAAAACAAATTGTTGCATCCTCACGTATTAATTGACTGTCTGGAACACTGGCTAAGGTCTGAACCGTGTGACTCGTAATCTTACGCTGGAACAACTGCTAACTGCACTTTCATGAATGGGCAGCTCCTGGCAAGGCGTCTGCATGGAGCAGGGGCTCGTACACAACTGCTCCAGCAGCCACGTCCTCACTGCACATTTGAGAGCTGCCCACGGGTCCACGGAAGAAGTCTGAGTTCTGATCCACTTTCCTCAGGCCTCAGGAGAACTATCCCTTCTGAACTCTGCAGTGCCATGAACAGCATTGGGATTTTTATGGACAGTGTACTCTGCACTGTCAGGGAAAGTATCAAGGGGAGTCACTGCTAAACCTCTTGACAAACATTTATGTAAGTTCAGGGGCCAGGACAGCTTCTGGGAAACACGTTAAGCGAAGTTACCTGCTGCAGCACATCCGGGTTTCGTTGCATAAAGTGTAACAGTCTCTGACCAGCCTGCACAGACTCCCTGCATTGAAGTGGCTTCTTGCCCTCTTTTGCTATGTGCTTGAAGAGGTAGGTGACCATGTAGTCTAAACTCGTACAGCAGCTGGAGGAGACGACTGTATCTGGACAAACAATAACAATTCATTCCCATTACTGATCTGTTTGCTCATTTGATTATTGTCTCCATTAAAAAGGTAGGATTTCAAAGCACTTCAGTGAAACTCTAAATCCTTGAGAGAAGGGGTTTGGCTTTTTTCTTTAAGCCCTGTGTCTATTACGGGGTCTGGCATAGAGAAACAGTAGCAAGAAAATGATTCCTGGTCTGAACTGGACAGAATTCCCCATTTGGGACTTGAACAACCTCTGTTCAATTTGACTGGTTATTAAGCATCTACTTAGTGCAAAGTACTTCAGGGGAAATGGCTCCAAAGGGGAAACAGGTGCAAACCCTGCTCTGGTGTCAAAGAGCTCATGGCTTTCCACAGAGGTCACCGCAGTATAAAACGATATATGAAGGAGTCACACAGTCACATACTGCTGCTGCTGTGTGTGTGTGTGTGTGTGTGTGTGTGTGTGTGTGTGTGTGTGTGTGTGTGTGTGCGTGCGCACACGCGCACATGGAGGCTGAGGTTGATGTCCAATGTCTTACTCAATCATATGCTAACTCGTTTTCGGGGCAAGATCTTCTCACTGAACCTGAAGTTTGCTGTTAGGAAAGCCCAGGGATCTCTCTACACCCACCTTCCCAAGATGAATTTCAGTGATGTGTACCATGCCTGGCTTCTCAAAGGGGAGCTGGGACCTGCACTCAGCAGGACTTCATCAGCGGAGCTATCCCCCCAGCCCTAACTGCTGAATTTTGAGGGAAAGATCATGTGTTTTTTTTTTTTTTTTTTGAGACAGGGTTTCTCTGTGTAGCTTTGCACCTTTCCAGGAACTCACTCTGTAGCCCAGACTGGCCTCGAACTCACAGAGATCCACCTGGCTCTGCCTCCCGAGTGCTGGGATTAAAGGCGTGCGCCACCACCCGCCCGGCTAGGGAAAGATCATGTTTTAATGGTGGTCAAAGTGAGTTGGATGAGGACATGGCCTGAGCTAGCTTGGGAAGGTTATTTCTGTGTGTGATACAAGGAGGAAGATTTCCAGGTAGAGAATAACAAGAGTTGAGAACATGGAGGGAACCCTGGATTTTGGGGCTGGACAGCTCTGGTTTCAAATCCCATCTTTCCCCCTTGTACTGTTACTTTGGAAGTGCTATTTTACTTCCCTCATTATTTGTAAATGATTCTGCAGAGTTGAATGAGAAAAAGGACTTCATCAGCAAATAGCTGAAATGTACGAAGGGCTTACTACATGTTAGTGACAGCATTAAACGTCTTAAATGGATTATTGTTTTTAATCTTTTTTTATGTTTTTGTTTTTGTTTTTTTAAGACAGGGTTTCTCTGTGTAACAGTCTTAGCTGTCCTGGAACTCACTCTGTAGATCAGGCTGGCCTCGAACACATGGAGATCTGCCTGCCTCTGCCTCCTGAGTGCTGGGATTAAAGGTGTGTGGTGCTGTAGCACGAATCTTAAAAGTTCTTATTAATAAAAACAAACCTGATGCCAGGTATTGGAGTGAATGCTGGAAGATCAGAGAAGCAGAACAAGCCACAGCCACCTCACCTCGCCAATTCCTCAGCTGATCCTGTTTCCTCAGAATGGAAGCCTCTGAGTCCTCATCCAAATGGATCTCAGCTAAACTGTTGCTAGAAGCCTAAAAGCTTAACCAGCTCTAGTTCCTGGTCCTCACGCCTTAAATACCTTTCTGCTTTCTGCCATCACTTCCTGGGATTAAAGGCGTGAGTCACCATGCCTGGCTGTTTCCAGTGTGGCTTTGAACTCACAGAGATCCAATGGATCTCTGCCTCCAGAAGGCTAGGATTAAAGGTGTGAGTGCCACCATTTTCTGGTCTCTGTATCTAGTGGCTGTTCTGTTCTCTGACCCCAGATAAGTTTATTAGGGTGCACAATATTTTGGGGAACATAATATCACCACAGTGGTGCCATCACTGCCCTTGTTTTTAACCTTTATCAGTCCTGTAATAGTTATTCTCATTTTATAGGTGAAGCTTAGAGATTTAAGTGACCTGTTCAAAGGCACTCTAATCAGGTTGGACAGTAAATAAGGAGTTGAACCATGAATGTGCACTGTCAATAACTACATTAAAATCAAGTATTAAGTAAAAATATATACAAGCATCAAATGTTTTTAAAATAATGGGGGTGGTGCTGGCTCTGTGGCAGAGTACTTCTATCTTACATGAGGCCCTGGAGGTTTGATCCTTGGCACCCATGAAATGAAACCAAACCAAACCAAACCAAACCAAACCAAACCAAACCAACCAACAACCCCACAGTCAGAACTCAAACTGCTGTTACTCCTGGGCTGTCACTCACAGTAAACAGGACAATGCATTTTGGAGGATCAGACTTTGGCTTGCATGCAAGAATGTGCAGGGGTATCATGAAAGAAGGTTAACAAAGTAGGTTGGGTTCCTACATGAGAGCATCCAAAAATGGGTGGAGATACATTTAATTTGAAAGTAAACAGAGATGTTATTGAAAGTTTTCTAAGCAAGTAATTGCTATGCAACCATTTATAATTTCCTTTGTACACTAAAATGATCAACTCTTTAAGTTCTTTGTTTTTGATGGAGACAGGGTCTTGCAATACCCCTGGCTGTCTTCTGACTTGCTATGCAGCCAAGAATGACCTTAAACTTCTTTTCTTCCTGACTCTACCTTCTTAGTGCAGGTGCTGAGATTGATAGGCCCAAGCCACCATGCATCCTAGGTAAGAACTCTACAGCTGAGCCACACCCCTAGCCTCATCTAACCTCTAACTACTGAGTATATCAGGTATTGTTTGCATTTTTAAAATGAGAAAAGGCTGTGGATGCAGCTCTGTACTACAGTATGTGTCTAGCATGTTTAAGGCCCTGGAGTAAGGGGAGGGAGGAGAAGCAGAAAGGGAGGGGGGAGGGGAGAGGAGGCTAAAACCCCGAAATTCCCTAGTTGATACCATTTCAGTGATTTAGAATCATAATATGGTTAGAGTGATACTACCCATATTTTTTGGTTAATGATGACATGCTGACACATTCCTGGCCATTTTTGACTACTAAGAGAAATGAAAATGGCAAGTAAAGTAGCCTATACTTGGGAGGTGGAGGCAGGAGGATCAGCAGTCTGACCGACCTAGGTTATATAAGCTCTCTTCTCAAAAAACCAAAACCCAAGTCAAACTAAACGAAACAAACAAAAAGAAAGGCAGCGGGGTGGGTGGGGTGGGGGAAGCTGAGAAACAACTTCTTATCCATCTTATGTTTGAGACATGAACATCTGACAGATCAGAGGCGAAACAGTGACTTCAAGAATGGGGAGCTAAACTAACCTGAGAGAACATTCAAGAGCAGGTATGACCCATGCTTAGTAATACTTAGCAGTGAAATAACACTCCAGCTTGAAAAAGCCCTGGAACTAGAAAGGAGGAGGTCTGTGGGCTTCTGAGACATGGACAGAGTGATGGAAGCCCATACAGGATCCCGAGCAATGATGAAGGAAGGTCCAAAGACAGGTATGGACAGTAGTTTTGGAAAACACTGGGATAAGATACCTTTTGTTGTTTGTTTCTGTTTTTGGAGACCAAGTTTCTCTATGTAGCCCTGGCTGTTCTGGAACTTACTTTGTAGACCAGGCTGGCCTCGAACTCACAAAGATTTGCCTGCCTCTGCCTCCCAAGTGCTGGGATTAAAGGTGTGCACCACCAACACTGGAAGGAATATTTTAAGAAAGGAGCATCCCCTGGCTTCTCAAAACTATGGCATTTATGTACTGGTTAACTCACTCCTCATTACGCCCCACACCCGAGGCTGCTCTGTAGGAAGAAACCCTGTCCCCTGCTAACTTTGGGGGGCAGCCCAGGAACCAAATACTCATTTCTTGAGTTGTTTTCCTTGCTTTTTCGCCTTCATTTTTCTACATTTGAAGCCTTGATCACGAAAGCAAACAGATTTAAGTAGAGAGCAATATGCTATCAATCATGCACAAAATTTAAAGTCTTCATATAATTTGGTGACCACACTGCCATGCAAGTTGCATTAAAAGGGTCTAATCCACTGAGTCAGCTGCAGAAAAGCCAGGTAAACACTTTAGACTCAAAGGTTGGAGCACACAGCTTTGCAATAAAAGCGGGGGTTTCCATTATGGTTGATTTATGGTTGGGGCATTGAAAAGGATAAATGTTATTTCCAGGTAGTTTTAAATGTGTGGAATCATAAGGATTGTGGGCAGTTGGTCAAAACAGGATGACTAGTGCTGAAGACAACGCATTAATTAGCATTACCTCTTTTTTTATCTGTAGAGGAGGCTATTATGCGAGGCTCAAAGAATGACTTCTCGCCGGGCGGTGGTGGCGCACGCCTTTAATCCCAGCACTCGGGAGGCAGAGCCAGGCGGATCTCTGTGAGTTCGAGGCCAGCCTGGGCTACTAAGTGAGTTCCAGGAAAGGCGCAAAGCTACACAGAGAAACCCTGTCTCGAAAAACCAAAAAAAAAAAAGAATGACTTCTCAAAGAATGTGCAGACACCATGGCTTTTTAACTTTTATGCTACTTCCTGGCTTTTAGAATAATTTGGAAAGGATTCCATTTGTGAGTCAGACAAGTCTGGAAGTGTTGTGATACCATTGGGCACTCTGTCCTCTCCAGCAACTCACTGTTTGGTACTGAGATAGCCATGTGCTCGCCACAGGAAGCACACGCATCATTAATAGCTCTCCTGTTTACTAAGACCCACTATGGAAAGCTGCTCTGAAAAGTTAACTGTGTACAAGAGGAGCACAATAGAGTCAGGAAGATGATAATGGGGTGCAGTTGAAATCTGGCTTCAGCTCAAAACTCATCATAGCACAAGCAAGGGCGAAGGTATTGGGAAGACATAGTCTGAAAGGCAACTTCCAAGAGAAAAGGATCATTGGGGAGGACGAGCTGTAGAAACAGGCAAGCAGACTGACTTCACCTCCACAGTATGCATGCAGTCCATGCATACTTGCATCATGTGAAGCTTCACTAGGACATGC